AGAGAGAGAGAGAGAGTTGAGTTATGGTGTTATTCTTTTTTTTTAATGATATGAATTCTCTTATTTTTGTCAAACTATTTTAAATATAATATATATATATATATATGATCAAATTTTTGATAAATTTTTGATATGTAAACATTTTGGATCATAGACAAAATAATCTCAAGAATGACATTCTTTTGATCTTTTTTTTATTTTTCAATTTCTATTGGTTTAGTGAGTTTTTGTTAGGTTATAATTTGGATCTATAATATGATTGAGTCCATGTTCTTAGTTTTGATAAAGACAAATTACGATATTAATCTATAATATTGATAAAATATATTAAAGTTCTCCTCTTATTATTGCCCCTCTTTTCAAATATAATATTCAACATTGTATGGGTTACGTTAAGTGATGTGTAACACATTCATGGTTAAATCAAAAGTTTATATAATTCTCAATATGTACAATAGATGCATAATAAATTCTTCCTTTTTAATGGCCAAAATAAGCTAAATATTCAAAGGAAAATGTGAATTGCTAAAAAATTAATCCATGTATTGATTTATCTATGAACACGATAATAACATGCTCTTTTTTATTATTAGAATATAGGTTGGTTTTCCAAGTAATCATGAGACTTGCAACATATGTAAACTATTGGATTAATTAGATCAACGTTATTTATAACATATGTTAATAAAAAAAGTTATCTATATATTATTATTAAACTTGAACTTATTATCTTTAGCATAATATTTATGGATAATATGATTTAAACCTCATTCTAATAATATTTGAACCTCATTCATAAGGTTTGAATATTGCTTAAGAAATGATAGGAATCTAATTTTAAATCTAATGGCTAAATGATAAGTTCAAAATAAATGTTTCGATTTTGTATTCAAATAAGGATACAAAACTGATCAATATGATGTTTAGAAGTTATTTATTTTTCTGTTTGAACATATTATTTTTTAAACAACTCTCTCGTACTCTCTCTAATTTTATTTAAGAAAATCATGGATTGATGAATATATTCAACTATAACAAATAAAACCTAAAGACCATACCATAATTGTTTGAAAGTGCTCTTAATAAGGCTTTGTAGTACAAGATTGTCCAAACCAAAGAAAAATGACTTTTGAAAGATGATAATGAAGCTTGAAAAAGAGATATTAAAGGGATACATCCTTCTATAATTTATTATATCACCAAAGACTACTTCATATCAATAGTAATGATCTATTTAGCATATTGTTAAATAAACAAGTAGAAGTGATATTTGACATATAAAGTTAAACTTCACTTTAACAATATAAAAACTGAAAGTTATTTTATGTTTACATTTTATGAGTATTATAAATATAATTAATTAATACAAATATTATATATTAATTTCATACTAGGTTAATAAAATAGATATGATTTTTTCTTCTTCTAGCATATTTTCTATTATTATTAAAATAATGAATAAAAATTTAAAATTAGCTATTTAGAGATGACAACATTAAGAGTCATTAGATAATATGATGCTTCAGTAAAATGTTAACATAGGGCTTACAGCTTTAAGTACGACCATTAATGGGTTGTGACTTGAACTTGGTTTCTTGGGAAAACTTGTAAAAAGTTCCGTATTTTGTGAATATATAAGAACCTTTAAGAACATATTAACGACATTGATTAAATGAGCAAATAACTATCAATTAGCTAAGATTGTTAGCTATAGAGCTAATGAGGGATGGGAATGGGGCATTAAGTATGTTATTATATGATGCTAAGGACAAGATAATACAAATTAAAAGCATGCAAAAAACTAAATTAAGTATCAAAAGAGGGGAGCCATCAGTTAATGAGAGCTAAGAGCCAATGAGTAGACCGAGAGTTCT